TATACATTTTTGAAGTTCCCTATAAAATCACTTCAAAGCGAATGCACTTTGTCTAAACCCGCTGATTTTTTTTGTGAGTGAATTGACACTGTTTGCCTGTTTGCATTTACAGCTTCACCGGGCTTGAGGTGGCAGAGCGCAGATAGCGCCTAGCCTAAACCACGTTTAAGAGTAACTAAGCTCCCTCAGGAACCTCGGCTGGGGCCGTTACTTCGTTATTATTACCGGATTGGGCCCCGCTGAACCGATTTGATAAATTCTTTAACTAGGAAGCTACACTATCCCTGGGTAATCAGCTGTGTATTATTCGATTTACATATTTATCCTATGTTGTTACGGTAAAGGAAAACATCGTGATGCTGCACATATCTGTCAAAGATATGTGTGAAGTCAACCCGTACTGGGCCTCAGTTGACTATGGTCTAGTCACCAACTTTGGGTAGACTCCGAGTCCCTCAGTGAGGGCGTATAACGAGCTGATGTACATTAATAAACGAGTTCGGAATGAAGCAATAGTTTTCATTTGTGAGCAAATCTAAGGCTTTTATCTTACTAATATTATAAATGCGAATGTTTAGATGGATGTTTGAAGGTATTTCTAGTACGGCTGCATGTATCTCACTGAAATTTGGCATTGATGTAGAACATAGTTTGGAATAACACATAGGTTGTTAATTAAGTTTTCTGTTAATTCCACGCAGACGGAGTCGCGGGCGAGAGATAGTACATATTTGTACATTTAAAATGTTTCCCTTATTATACAATTTCTTTAAGAAATATTCAGACAGCAAATTATATTAATAACATCAGTAATATTAATTTAGTGACGCATTTTTTTGTCTAATGTTTATACGTTAATATGATTTGACTATGTTTCAAATCACAACAGTAATTTCCGTGGAGTCGAATCTATATAAAAAAGTCGATTGATATGTGGCCTTCACCTATCGACATTTTTCACTCTTAATGTATGGGACTGTGTGGAGGTTTTTTTTATGTTTTTTTTTTGTTATATCTCTACGTATTTCCGTGTTAGTTAAGTTATCTTGACCGTGATAGTTGGTGTCATTGATTAATGTTGTTCGATAATTTTTCTTTTGTAATTGCGTTTGCAATCTCCATATATTTCATTGTTCTTATACTTGTTCCACTTTCTATTTCTTATTGCAAATTGAAAAATGGAAACGTGAAGGTATGAAGCTGGAATTTATCTATATATGTATATATAATAGAAAGTCGTGTTAGTTACACTATTTATAACTCAAGAACGGCTTTACCGATATAGCTGAAAATTGGTATAGAGGTTGCTTAGAGCCAGGAAACTGACATAGGATACTATTTATTTATTTTTATATTTTTTTTTCGAATTTATGCCTTGAAGAGTTGCTTTTTATTTAACTTACTAATTGTATAAATGCGAATGTTTAGATGGATATGATGTGGATGGATGGATAGGTGGGCTACAATAATTAAGTTTTTTATATATCCACGCGGACGGAGTCGCGGTCGACAGCTAGTTTGTTATAAATTTAACAGTGGTAGAGCCCGCTTTAACATCTTCGCACGAATAGTCCGGTGAAATACCACGACCACACAGAAGACAGGCTTCAAGTGGAAGCAATTCCGCGTTTCGTCTGATGAGTGTGCGTCCCGGAGGCCTAATCTAGTCCTCTTTCCCTTCCCATTCTTTTCTTAATAAAGAAAGGATGGGAAGTGGAAGTGGACTCTTCAGATGAGAGAATGCATGGAAAGGGAAGATATTTTCTTTTTGTGCATCCTCTCCTCCGTCGATTAAAGGTAGGCAACGCATATGCAATTGCATATGTCTATGGGCAACGGTCACTTCGCTATTTCAGCAATTTCAGGTGGCCGCTCGCTCGTTTGCCACCTTATGATATAAAAAAATCCGTGCTGTGTGTCTTTTTCCATTTTATCTGTATGATAATAAATGTTTATTTTTTTCTAATATTTATATGCATTTGTTACACAGTATGTTATGCGATGAAAACTTCGTGATTATGCAACATTGTAAGACAGAGAAAACCCAAACAGTGAAGGATGGGAAAATCCTTAGCCAACGGAAAACACGCCTGAAGATAAAAAACAACACATAAAAATTACAACATATTTTTTTTTGTTTTTAACTTCTTGAAAGGTTTTTATAAAAACTATAACTTCCTTAATTAAACAAAGACCTTTCATTTATGTTATTTCCAACTTGATAACTTGAATAGGAGCGTCGGTGGCTCAGTGGTCAAGCACTTGACTTGCAATCTGCAGGTCCTGGGTTCGAATCCCGCCATGTACCAATGTGTTTTTCGACTTCCGATTTACATATGTACATTTATCCGACGTTCTTACGGTTAAGGAAAACATCGTGATGCAACCTGCTGCACATATCTGAGAAGAAATTCAAAGATATGTGTGAAGTCAACCAACCCGCACTTGGTCAGCATGGTTGACTATGGCCTAATCACCCTTAACTTAGGGTAGGCCCCGAGCCCCTCGGTGGGGACGTATAGTGAGCTGATGATGATGAACTTGAATAGGTAGAATAAATAAAAATCTTACCGGAGACCTAATTTAAGGTCTAAAAATCAATACATATGTTTCGATTGCTGAATATTTACAAAAACATATAGACGTCCCTTTCATCTTAATAAGATTATGAATGTGAATTTTCGGATAGATAGATGTTTGTTAGATCTAGCTGAAAACCATAGATGTAGAACATAGTCTGGCAGCTACCTCGGTCAAAGAATTAGTTTAGCTGTACAAAGGGGGAACGCTGCCAGTATCTTCGGGACCTTGCCTAAAGGGACTCCTTTTAATAATATATTTTAGTGAATTATTCGTTTTTTTTTAATATTTTATTTTATATCATAGATTTAAGACTTTAAGTATTTATAGAAATAAGGAAGTATAATAAATTCATTTATTGATATTATAATATAATAAATATAGTTTGCAATCGTTTAACTTTTTCATGAATTTAAAATTACGTAGCTATGTGTTTACTATAGATATTAAAATGTCTGGAAGAACGCATTGATAATTCCGCTCGGAAAGAGTCGCGGATGACAGCTTGTTCTTTATGAATATAACAGTTAACAAGGTGCTTTTATAAGTTAATAAAGCAACGTTTTCATAATGAAATGTATATTAACCCTTCTGTCTATATGTTAATTAAAAATTCTATGTATTAAAATACGCCATTGTTTTTCTATTGTTTTTTTAAATTTTGCATTCATCACTGGCAAATTATACGTCCCTACTGAAGGGCTTGGAGCCTACCCTAATATAATGACTAAGCCATAGTCAACCACGATGGCCCAGTGCGGGTTGACTTTACACATATCTTTGAATTTCTTTTTCAGATATGCATAACATTTTGTATAATTTTAATAATATTATAAATGCGAATGTTTGTATGAATGTTTGTTTGAAGGTACTTAAAAACGGCTGCGTAGATCTCGCTGAAAGGCATAGCCTGGAAACATAGGCTACTAATTAATTTTTTTTTTAAATATCGTGCGAGCGGAGTCGTGGGCGACATCTAGTATAGTCTTGAAATCACTTATTAACAATCCGAATCCAACACAACTCAGCAAATAAATCTCGTAACCCTCTAATGGTCGGTTTCGCTTGCATTAGCAAAAATAACGGGCTGGGGGTAAGTTTCACCCCCTGCCAATTTATAAATCAATCGAACAACCCCCTTTACTCAGTTACTTATTGGTTAAACTCGCTGTAAGATTACAAAGTTGCAGGATTCGATTACTTAAAGTTTGCTTACGGATATTGAATTTGCGATACTTTCGTTTCTTAACCGTGAAAAGATGCAAGTTGTTTTCGTACAAACCTTTTAAACAGTGTAAAGTTAAGGTAAATTTTAGATTAAAAAAAAACATCTTTGAAAGATTTTAACACAATTTTTAACTATAGATTTTCTTTTTTTTTTAATTTATTATCTTTTTCGGCAACTTAAATCAAGTGTTAATTTCTCAAGACATACAGAAAAAAATAAGTTAAGGCTTAGCTTTTAAGTGAGGTGCTAAAACAATACCTTTCTTATTGAAGTATACGCAACTTGGTCGTTTACACACTTAGTGTACACTTAATCTACATTTAGCAAGAGACAGTGTTTATGTAGGTATTATATTTTTCCCTAATATTATAAATGCGAAAGTTGAAATAGATGTTTGTTAGAAAGTATCTCCAAAACGGCTGTATACATCTCGCTGAAATTTGGCACAGATGTAGAATCTAGTCTGGAAGAGCACATAGGGAGTCGCGGGCGACAACTAGTTATAATATGCTTCCTATATTATCCTTTATAAGATACGGAGGTTTAATAACGTATTCGTGTAACCTTTGTTAGTTAATTTAACTGTAAGTATAAACAAGATCGCGTGTTCACCGTAACTTAACTGTAGTTAATGTAATTTACATTTTACTAAGTTTTAATTAAGCTTTTTTATTAAAAAATTCGTTAATTCTAATCGTTTTGTATTTGTTAAGGTTGTGTATATTTCTGTATCTTTACTAACTGTCGCCGGCGACTCCGTCCGCGCGGTATATGTGGACTTACAGACTATGTTTTATACGTATGCCAAATTTCAGCGAGATCCCTTCAAACGTTCTGGAGATATCTTCTAACAAACATCCATCCATCTATGCATCCAACATCTGCATTTATAATATTAGTAAGTAGTAAGATTGATGGCTATTTTTACTTATATAAATTACATTTTTTTTTCTGAAGGAATTAAAAAAACACAAAGTGGTCTATATTTCTACGCGCATTATCTACCTTCCAGACAAAGACCCGTCAAAATCAATTTAGTTCCGGAGATTACCCGGAACAAACACTTTGCGAACTGACACACGGACAGACTTAAAACAATTTTAAAAACTTTTATTTCTCGATTTGACATACAGACACTCCAATTTTATAGTATAGATTATTTTCCTACACAAAAAATAGTAAGGTAACTTACTGGGCATCATTTCGACGTGGGACGATGTGTCCATGATGTTGTGGTGATGGAGCATGTCCGGTGGGGACTGCACCAGCCCGCCACCGCCGCCGCTGGCCATCACCATAACTGATGATAACCCTGACAGTTCCTATCACTTGTAATAACCCGACCTATTAGTTCCTATCAAGTGTACTGACGACCAAGTTTCTATCACGATGATACAGTGATGAGCTATTATCACGAAAGATGATACTGACTATCACTGATGATTGACACACAAATCACGATTTTATCTATAGAAAATTAATTTGTTAAAATGTTAATACCACAGTAACACTTTTAAAGCGATACACTTTCGGTCCGTAGGCACTTCGACATTTTTTTTCTCTGTAGCATAAAAGTTCGAACAGGCGTCCTACCGCGGCGACGGCTAAGCCAATACTGCCGTATTATATGTATAATTGTATGGATCGGCGCCAAAGCGCATGAGTGGACCTACCCATAATCTGATTGGTGGGATTTTCGAACGCCTTTTTGAATGGATAACTCTGATTGGTGGTTGGTGAATAATTTTCCCGCCCAAAGTGACTGTACCCTACAAGATGGCGCCCCCCTCGGAGCCTTCGGTTGCTTTTTTGAACATTTTCTCGTATAAAAAATAATCCTGTTGGATATAATGAGTATGATTTATGTTTTGAATCCGCGCTTTGGTTTTCTTTTTATTTTTTTAATCTGTTCATGTTAATCTTCAATGTCGGTGATTGTCGATGGTTTTTTTTTTGATAAATCGCGTCTCGTGGCTTTGATCTTGTAAGGTTTTTTTTTATTTTTAGTCTACGATTTTAATAGCTCTGGTTTGTGTCGGTTTTTGATATTAATACGGCGTTTGAAATATGCAATAATGATATAACGAAAGCCAAATCGATTATTCTGTTCGGCTGCTACTCGTTAGTTACAAGCAAAAGTTGTAAGTTTAGTTGGTCGTAGGTTTGAATATAAATATCGTCAAAATTAATTTACGTTGTTAAAAACATTTTGCATATTTTAATGAAAACTAAATATATGTAAACTAAACAAGAAAATAATACGTTTTAAGATTTGCAATTGTTTTTTTTTAAATAATCCATAGATGGCGTTGTATGCAACAGTAGTTATTTTTGAATATGTTACATTCATGAGTCAATATTTCTCTAGAATATTGACTCATAAATTGAATAAAATTGAAGTGTCTGTATGTGACATCAAAAAAATATATATTTCGTACACATGATGTATTTACGCAACAAAAAATAAATTATTAAAATTTCTCATCATCAGCTCACTATACGTCCCCACCGAGGGGCTCGGAGCCTACCTTAAGTGAAGGGTGATTAGGCCATAGTCAACCACGCTGGTCAAGTGCGGGTTGACTTCACATATATCTTTAAATTTCTTCTCAGATATGTGCAGGTTGCATCACGATGTTTTCCTTCACCGTAAGAACATAGGATAAATGTACATATGTAAATCGGAAATGGAAAAACACATTTGTACATGGCGGGATTCGAACCCAGGATCTGCAGATTGCAAGTCAAGTGCTTGACCACTGAGCCACCGACGCTAAAATTGTCTGTCTCCTTAATTCCACGTAAGTTATGGGTAAACTCCTGAACTTAGGCTACTTTTTTTAATTCCACGCTGACGAAGTCGAGGTCAAATCTTACTAATATTATTATATAAATTGGAATGTTTTGATAGATGTATGGATGAATGGATAGATGTTTGTTTAAAGTTATATCCAGAACGGCTCAACGAATCTTTATGAATTTTAGCATATATATATATAGAACATAGTCTGGAAGAACACATAGGTTACTTATTCAGTTTTTTTTTAATTCCGCGCCGATGGTGTCACTGGCTAGTTAGTTAAATTATAAAAGAGTTATTGATTACATAGAGCGTCGGTGGCTCAGGGGTCAAGCACTTGACTTGCAATCTGCAGGTCCTGGGTTCGAATCCCGCCATGTACCAATGTGTTTCAATTTCCGATTTACATATGTACATTTATCTGACGTTCTTACGGTGAAGGAAAACATCGTGATGCAACCTGCACATAACTGAGAAGTAATTCAAAGATATGTGTGAAGTCAACCAAGCCGCACTTGGCCAGCGTGGTTGACTGTGGCCTAATCACCCTTAACTTAGGGTAGGCTCCGAGCCCCTCGGTGGGGACGTATAGACAGCTGATGATGATGATGTTGATGATGATGATGATGATGATTACATAAAAAAAGTATATTAACGTAATATATTTCTCAGAATCATATAAACATATATTAAATATAATTATAAATTAAAAATATCACAATAAATCAATCATAATTAATGTTTATATATCATATCTATATATTTGACACAACAAACGTATGATCAAACCGACAGAACATGTTTCTTGTTATGTTCTTGTTAATTTATAAATCATAAAAAATATATACGAAGATCAAAAGACAAATAACCGCTATCTAAAGATAAAATATGACAAACATATTAACACGAGGAATCATTTTAAACGCAACATAATCTATTAGTTTATTTCAAACTAACAGTAAGATATAAAAAAAATTATAGTCAAACTTTTGCTCGTAATTAAAAAAAAACATCCTGTATACATTAATCCAAATAGTATCTACGCCTGTATCAAATTTCATCTAGATTTAACCATTTGGAGTTACTTAGTAACAAAAATTTAATCCATCTAATTCGCATTTATAGTCCAACTAGCTGTTGCCCACGACTCCGTCTGAACAAAATTAAAAAAAAAAAACTAGTAGCCTATGTATACTTCCGTAATATGTTATATAGTATGTATTTTTTTTATATCATAAAGGGGCAAACGAGCGAGCGGCCACCTGAAATCGCTAAAACAGCGAAGTGACTGTTGCCCTTAGACATACACAATTGCATATGCGTTGCCTACCTTTAATCGACGGAGGAGAGGATGCATAGAAAGAAAATATTTTCCCTTTACATGCATCCTCTCATCCGGAAAGTCTACTTCCACTTCCCACCCCTTCCCCATAAGAAAAAGGGTGAGAAAGGAAAGAGGACTAAATTAGGCCTCCGGGACGAAAGTATGCCAAATTTCATCGAGATCTTTTTAGTTGTTGTGGAGATACCTTCAAACAAACATATCATCTAAACATTCGCATTTATAATAATACTAGCGATAGCACCAAGACACCATCCGTGCAGATTAAAACAAAAACTTAGAGTGTAGCTTATATGTTCTTCCGGACTATGTTCTACATCTATGCCAAATTTCAGCAAGTTCCATGCAGCCGTTCTGGAGATACCTTCAAACAAACATCCATTTAAACATTCGCATTTATAATATTAGTAAGTTTTAAAGTTATATAATTTCGATTTGGTTATAAAATTGATTTTGAGAGTTGATTTAATTCATTATCTTACTTTAATATTCTGTGCGAATGACGTCGTATGTTTGGTTTAGAAAAATTATCTCTTATTTTTTTGTATAGATATTCGCAGCTGCGTTAACTTTTAAAAAATCCTCAAGGAACTTCCTTCCTTAATGAAGATTTGTTATAATTGACACTCTTATTACGTTTGCATAAAGGTCAAAATGCTTTGACATCAAGACATCTGTTAAAAAGACTTTATCTGTGAGACGGTTATCTATAGAATGGCAGCTTTAACTGCTTTTGGCGCGAACATTTGGCGCCAATTTTTTTTGTTTACTTTTTTACAGTCATAGACAACCTCACACGTTGTTGACAATGTAATTATTGTTGAATTTATAGTCTGTGACTTTTACAGCTTTCTTTTGTCTATGGTTCATTAGGACTGTCTGTTAGAGACAGAGAGAGAGAGTTAGAGTATCTTGATTTATTAATAACTTTAAAGATAAATATTATAACTTTTTCGTAATAATAAAGTGATTTCATTTGTTGTTACCGCACTATGTCCCCACTGAGGGGCTCTGAGCCTACCCTAAGTTAGTGACTAGGCCATAGTCAACGCTGGCCCAGTGCGACTTGACTTTACATATATCTTTGAATTTCTTCACATATATGTGCAGCTAAATGATGTTTTCTTTCGACGTAACATCGGATAAATGTACATATGTAAATCAAAAATCGAAAATCACATTGGTATATGGCAAGGATCGAACGCGGATGCTATAGATTTCGGTCCGGTAAAACGCTTAACAACTGCGCCATCGACGCTTATTTTTATTTTAAATTTATAGGTTAATTTAGTTGTCATAATAATGCATATAATATTGTTATGTTCATTATTTTTTTTGTGACAAACATCAGTTTTCAAACTTTTTTAGCATTAATAAAACTATGCAGCGTCGGTGGCTTAGTGGTCTAACGCTTGACTTGCAATCTGCAAGTCCTGGGTTCGAATCCCACCATGTACCAATATGTTTTTCGATTTCCGATTTACATGTGTACATTTATCCGACGTTCTTACGGTGAAGGAAAACATCGTGATGCAACCTGCACATATCTGAGAAGAAATTCAAAGATATGTGTGAAGTCAACCAACCGGCAGTGGGCCAGCGTGGTTGACTATGGCCTAGTCACCCCTAACTTAGGGTAGGCTCCGAGCCCCTCGGTGGGGACATATAGTGAGCTGATGATGAAAACTATGCATAATAACTTCATCCTTTTTGTCAGACGTTAAAATTCTAATAAGTCTCTGTTAGAAACTAATCAAAATTTTTCTCTAAATGTTATTTTTTTTAATTTTCCGAAACAAGTAATACATTTGTCCAGTACAAATTGACAGCAACTCTTAGTATCCTAACAAAGAAATTAATATCCCCATTCGATTTCCGAATGCACCGGAAGTAAGAGGGGGAGACGACCGGAAGCCGCTGACCGGAAGGAAGCTGCCTGAGCGCCATCTATTGATTGCGGCTAATTCATTTGCCCCTGTCAAAGTCCGCATTTACGAATTGTGATTAAACTATGAGATATTTTGGATCAAAGTGATTCTTGAAGAATACAATAATAACATCGGTAACTCAGAAGTTAAGAATGACTTTAAATCTGAAGGTCTTGGGTTCCAAACAAGTACTAATCTATTTTTCGATTTATTTATGTACATTTATCCTATGTTGTTACGGTGAAGAAAAACATCGTGATGTTACACATATCTGAGAATGTCAAAGATATGTGTGAAGTTAACACGCACTGGGCTGTTGACTATGACCTAGTCACTAACTTAGAGTAGGCTCCGAGTCCATCTGTGGGGACGTATCGTGAGCTGATGATGTTATGTACTCCTGCTTCATATCCTAAATCATGTAAGATGTCACGAGCTTTTAAATTTGAAAGCGTTTTTAGTCTGTCTTAGATATTTTGTTTTTTATTGCCTTAACCACTTTGATATGAAGCATCGATGCGTTCTTA